TTCTTATTGCGTCCTTGTGCATTTTGGATGTTATTACGTGTATTTTATAATTAATTCTGCAGGACAATAAAAACTACATTGTTGCTGTGCAGCACTGGAACGAGAGGCAGCTTATAGTAATTGAAATTTGCATAATACTCCAGCGTTAAATCCTTTTTAGGAGCCAGTGCCACGATTCCACAAGCTCAACCAGCCTGGAGAAAATGGGTGTTTGAACAAAATCTCAATAAGAGACAAAAAACAAAAATATGCAGTTTAAGAAGCTGAGGAGGTGCTTTGATTTTCATCTCATTTTGTGGTTTTAATTCTCGATAAATCACCCGATCTGGTGATTTAGTCCGACAACTACCAGAATTTCCCTGTGGGACAAATACTGACAACATGAATAAAAGCGCATGCGTCCATTTCTGCTTGGATTCTAATAAACCAAAGCTGAAAACAAACACCGACTTTGTTCCGGTGATTTTCTTGCCTCGTGCGTTTCTTTCATTCCCAACAAAGAGGATTAAACTTCTCTCACACAGTCCGCTGCCTTTCCTGCACTCTATGCTACAGCCAATCTTTAGACCATTTTATTATCCTTATTTTTACTTGTATTTTTGTTTTCTGGTACAAAACAATGAAATGCCCAAATTCTCCTGTCGTCAATCATTTCAGTGTTTGGACATCAAGCGTTCATGAGCAGCCACAGAGTCAGCAGCCTTAAAAACGAGTTCAAAGCTGTTGCTTCTCTAAGCAAATCAGAAAGAAAAAGCTGTTTGAAAAAGAGTATTTTGTACTTTGATGGTGTCTTGAGCAAAAGACTAGCAATAAAGCTGCCTTAGCAAATCTACAGAGCAAAGAAAGAAAGAAAGAAAGAAAGAAAATAAACAATATTTGGTATAGCTCCTCTCAAGATAAAACTCACGAGGTGCTTCACAAGAACAAAAAATTTAAAAAAAAGAAGAATTTTAAAAGTCTCATATAAATGATGGCTAGGTTTTGAATGCAAACACGTTGATGGTTTTACATGGATATGTGTTCCCCCATCGAGATCTGTTTCTTTTGCACCCAGCTGCAAGTGGAAACGACCCAGTCATAAAAAATAAACCTCACCCTAACCATGACCACCCTGTCACCAAACATTTATGTTTTGCATAAATATAATTTATGAAAATATTATGTGCAGCACAATTTTTATGTTTGTTTCGGGGTTATGGTTAGGGTAAGAGTTAGGACACACATTTTTTGCGCGTGGATGCTTCAAACTCACAGCTGGGTGCAAAAGAAACAGATCTCGAGGCGGGAACACATATCGACGTAACAACGGATCACTTACCCCTCCCCTCAGGTAAAGGGAGCCAAAGTCATGCCTATCTACTTCCAGACCACGGGTCCCCGGACGAACGAAAAAAATTAATGCAAGTCAATGCAATAATTCCGCTTGTTTTGTGCCATGGATTTTTGATGGCTTGTTCTTGATGGCTTCTTCTTCCAGCTCTTGGGGGGTGCAAACGCTTTTCTTCTCCTCTCCTCCATATCTTATCCTCAAGGCCTTTGTCTGTCTGTGTGTGCTGGGTGCACGGCTGCATTTGCATTTTTTCTGGAAACTGAAATTCACTAAAATGGATCTCGTCAGTTGGTCACTCAACGCGGTTGACAAAATTTTTTCAACGATGAGAACGGGAGAAGGGGCTCCCGGATGCCCCTCCGGGACAGACCAGCTGTCTGTGGAGGACTCTGAAGATGTGTGGATATTTGTGGTGTTGGTGTCGGGTTTCCTGCTGATCGGCTTTGGAGGCTACCTGGCTTACCGGAAAATTAACGAGCTGCCGAGGAATATTGGCCGGATCCCCAAGCTCAGAGATGGATTGCACCGCGCTGTGAATTCACAGACTCACATAATTGTCGAGATGAATCATAAGCTTGGAACTTTGGCCGAGATTCATTCATTGGCACAAAGATGGATGCCATCAAGGATAGAGTGGACAAATCAGCACGGATTGGGATAGTTTAATGACCATTATTGGGATTTTGAGAGGTTGAGGACCAACAAGCTGTAAGACAGAGAGGAAATTATCTCTGTCTGGCCCCAAAACAATTTCTAATTGGAATCTAGCGTCCTTGAGCCTGCTAGGCTAAAACAAAAACTCCCCCCTCAGAAGATATGTGGAATGTACTGTTGCTATGGCAACTCAACTCTGTAACCTATCCCAGCCTGGGCGGGACTGCGGGAAGGCCGCTGAAACGTTCCAGGATCACTGCAACCTCCAACCCTCAATGCTCCTCCCCCTATCCACACTGAGGTGACATGCGCTGCTTATCGTGGCTGCAGGAACTGAAGTGGGGATAGTCCCAACCCACCTCCCCACCTGGTGGACACTTATGTTGTGTTGTCTGAAGTCTGTTGCATATCTGTTTGAGGTGGGGTTTTTTTGCAGAGCAAAGCTGCCGTCCCGGTGGAGGGTAGCTCTGAAGTGCCTTTTTTTTCCCTCCTCCTGAACCAATCCTCATGTTACCCTCTTATCTCTATTAAGGTAGCGCAACCACAGTCACCAATTCTTGTCATGTGTCTTGCCCATGTATGTCTGATCTCTGAACTGTGTGTACTGAAACTCTAATTTCCCCCTGGGATTAATAAAGTATCTTTGATTTGATTTGAAGAACGTGCTTATTTCTGAATGCGGAGAAATGCTATTTTAGGTTTTGTGTGAAAATAAGTCCAGGACTACAAATGCACTTCACGAAAGTGACGTCATCGAACCGGACATGGAGAAAAACTGAGGGAAAATGGCTGTAAGTTCAGCGAACTTGAAATCCTTCCTTCAGGAGGAAAAAAACCCGCCATAAATCTGGTCATTTGGTTAGTAGCAGCTATGCTAGGGGAGAGGAGATTATGTGCTTGCGTCACATATGTGCGACATGTAGGGCTGTAGCGAAGCCTCGACGAAGTCGACGGCTCGATTCTAAAAATTTGTCGACGTCAGATCCGGAAGTCGACGCACCGCGCCCACTTGTTGTATCCCCAGGAGTTTGTAAATAGAGGAGGAATCTGCCTGTTTTTCCTCTAGTTCGCCCTCTTCTCCGCCTTCACTAACATCGCCGCCAAATACCGAAGACCCGGAACAACGTCCGTCCACTACTAGATTATTTTCCTGTTTTGCCCGCCTTCGTCTCCCAGCAACGGACAACAACTTCCGGGGTCAGATGCGCTGCTCCGTCTCTACCGCAGATGTAGAAAATCACCGGGAGCGCTTCTCCCTTCATTAAGGAGCTTCTTTCAGACACGAGGAGAGCTGTTTCGGTGGTAGCAGTCTCTCCTCCGTGCTGGTCTGTTTGCTGCTGGGTGTTTTTGGTTTATTTAAACTTGGTAACTTGAACTTAACGTTGGTAAAGCTACTGTTAGCATCTTCGCTAACAGCTTCTTGCGTTGGGATAAGCTGTTACGTTTTGGTTTAGAGTTCATCTTTTTTGTGGTGTAGATCTCCCTTTTATTACATTTAGAGTGTTGTGGGTTTTCGGTTTAGTGTAAAATATCACCTGAGTTTGGTTTAACCCGTAACACCACTCGCCTCACGCACATAAGTGACCAAAACAAAGCAGCGTGGAGACACTCCGTCTTCTACCACCTCTCAGGCAGCAGCCTGCACTCCCAAGTTCTACACGTCACCAGAACATAACCAACCAACACAATAAACGCAGTGTTATACAAAATGGAAGGCCTGTAGTGTTTATTCTCTCACAGTAACAATTTATCAATTTTTTTTGAGGAATTTATTTGAGATTTTCTGGTTTTTGTTAATTGTGCAATAGAAAAATAATCATTAGATTAATTTTCTAAATAGTCATTAGAATAGTCGACTATTCGATAAAATAATCGTCAGAATAATCGTTTTAAAAATAATCGTTTACCCCCAGCCCTAGCGACATGCTGATGTCTAATGTGTAGTCATGCTAATTACGAACTTTTACAAGCCGACAAATCTCATAGTACGTGACTGGTGTCGTCGAAACCCCCATCATTACTTTTAATTTAAATTGCAGTACAACATATGTGCGATCCAGGGCGTAAGGCTAAGTGGGTTAGAAAATAGCCTTTTTAGCCCCGTTGACTTGCATTAATGTTTTCGTTCTTCTGGGGACCCATGAGCCAACCAGAAAGAGAGGAGACTTAGGCTTCCTATAGGGCGACTTAGGCTCCCCTTCCACACCACGGGTCCCCAGAAGAACAAATTTCCTGAACGTGACTGTATTTAGAAAATATGAGCACAAACACAATTTCAACCCAGCTTCACATTCAGAAAATAAGTTCTGTCAGAGAAATGATTGTCACCATGTTGCATCATCTTTGGATAAACTAGGTTTAAAGTGGTAAAGGACACAAACTTTTGAAGTTTTACAAAAACTTAATCTGTTGTTTTGAGCTAAGTTTGGTATTTCAGCTGCTCAGAAGTAACAAAAATTGTTTTATTTTGTCTTTATTTTAAATTAGAGAGAGAATGTGCTTTGAGCTGAGAAACCAGCCATTCTGGCCCAGAATCACAAAGCGATTGTATGTCATTTGCAGATGCAAATCAGGGTTTTGCACCTCTGTCAAATGCACAAAGCCCTTTGCAAAGGGACAGTCTGCTCTCAAAATAAACTGCAACGTTGTCCTCTGACATTTTGTCTTCATAACAAGATCTTTTACATGCATTTAAATACAATTGTGTGTGTGGGGGGGGGGGTTACAGACAGGGGCATGTGCAGCAGAGCAGTCAGGAAGGAGGAGGGGGCCCTGTCAGAATGTGAGATGACCAACAAAGCTGTCATATGACAGAGTTTCACTGTCTCACTGCTTTTGTGGTAGTTAGTTTGTCACCCCTCTGGGACCCCCTTATGGCCCGAGGGCTCCAAGCAATTGCCTACCCTTCCTGTCAGCATGCGGCGCCACGGATAACAAATGCTGGATTTTTCAGCTTAATCAGATTTGATGGCCACTCATGAAATTCTCATTTAAAAAAGAGGACAAGCAAGAAATATGAACAAAAAATCTACATTTTGCAGATAAATGTCATTACATGGTTTTCTTTATTGCAACTGTCTTCCTCTACCATCAATATCTCCATGTGCATCCTCTTTATGGCATTGTTTGTAAATGCTGTTGTGTTTAAATAAGCCATGACTCCAGTCGTGTGGCAGATACGAGTCCGAGGTCGGAGTAATCCTCGGAGGAATCAATGAACCTTTGGTTTTATGTTTAGCAAAACTGCTTTCTGGACTCAACAACTGCCGTGTGCAGCTGTAACTGCAGCACTACATCATTCACCACAATAAACACATCAGAACACACCCTTTCTCTCTCTCACTAGTACTTTGAGAAGCTGTCGATATTGTCTGAAGTCAGGCGTGACTGCACAATTTTTCCTGATGAGAGCAGGAGTAGGCTGGAGAACAGATTCAGGCTCATTGTAGGCAGAACAGGGCATCGTGGGTATTCTTCAGAAGAGTTGACAAATATTTGAGGTGCAGCTGAGCCTTCTGTTTACAAAGGTTGAAGCTGAAGCGTTGCCGTTTGAATTATTCATCACAAAAACCCAGACTGACTCATTTCTACAGTATCTCTGCTCTCTTTTTACAGCCGTTTCTTTAGGAAACCAGAGAGAAGTCGATAAAACGGATCTAACCTTCACATTCCGGTGATTTCTGTCATTTTTTAAATGCTCTTCTGCTTTTCTTCTTTAAAACGTGCACTTGAGATCCAGAAAGAAAGATACGTTAGCATTATCTACACCTGCAACAGATCACATGAAACACCTTTCTGTTTCAAAGGTAAACAATAACTATCAAAAGCTTTAAAAGAGCTGTGAAAAATGTCCAAAACTTAGAAAGGAAATGAATGGGAGGACCAACAGAACATTGTTAATATTATAGAGAAAGTTGCTCCAGAACTGAAAGAACTGCAGCAGAGATGTTTACATTTAAAAGGTAATCACAGATTTTCCTATTGGACGTCTGAGTCTTTGCATACATTTTTTTATCCACCGAAGTTTCTTCTTTTTCTTAATGCTGACGCCACGGTTGAGGGGGTTTATTAAACAGAAAAACAATAATAATAATGTAGAACTACTGGACCAGTTAACTCATTCACTGCCAATGATGACTAAAGTCATCAGTTGCATTTTTTACAGTGTGGGCGTCGGACGAGCCCCCGCACCGTGAGAACAAACATCTCAGCTCTAAAGCCGATCTTCATCCGCATACGTCACACGTCACGTGATCAGGAAGCAGAACATCCATGTGTTAGGAGATCGTTTTGGGCAGCTGCTGTCAAAAAAGTGAGGCGCGAACCGGAAAAGCTTCTGCCGATCACAGTTCAACAACGGATCATGAAAGAACGGATAAAGCTCGAAACATGCTGAATCTTCCTCATGTAAGAGGTGAGTCTCCGCTTTGTTTTGGTTGTTTTGGCGTCGACATCATCCTAGCGCGCAACTTTGTGTCACTCTTAAAAAAACAGTAAAAACGGTGAGAAACGCTGGCAGCGAATGAGTTAAAGAGCAAGTCACCCTCAAATCAACTTTTTTCTGATGAACTATATAAATGAGTGTCTAATCGTGCTGCAGACACGTGTAATCAATAGTTTTGCACTTTAGTGCATTTTAGTTAAAATTTTAATTTTCTGCCTAAAACTGTCAGTGTTGTGCTGTTGTCAGGTAAAAACTCTGCACTGCAGATGAATTTAAATCTGCCATCGCTATTGGCTAAGAGGTACCCTAGAACGTTAGCTGGTACATCATGATGTCACAATGTTGTTGTAAGCCTGTGTGTGTGTGTGTGTGTGTGTGTGTGTGTGTGTGTGTGTGTGTGTGTGTGTGTGTGTGTGTGTGTGTGTGTGTGTGTGTGTGTGTGTGTGTGTGTGTGTGTGTGTGTGTTTGTTAGCGGCTCTGCCCTCTCGGTCTGCTAGGCAACAGCATTTGTTGCATTTTTCAAACAGGAGGTGGGAGTGGAGTAATACTCTGGTAGGGGGTGACTTGCTCTTTAACGATCTGGTAAAGTTCAACAGTCTTGTTTTCCAAAACATTATGAATATTTGATTTAAACTAGATTTTCATCCAGTCTGTAGACTGCAGCTCCTCGGATGAATGACCCACCCTTCATCAAGTAGAAATATAAATTTCTATAGTTGCAAATGTGGAAAAAAAAGTCTAAATTTTCAAGTGAACCATTAAAGATGTGTCCAGTTCTCCGGACCAAAGGCCGGCGGAGGAGTTCATGGACCCACGATGGGAATGGTGCTGACCTTGTTGTTCCTGCTGATCCGACGTTCGGGCCTGTGTCTGGGGAGTTTGGTCTGGATCAGCTCCTCTGGCGTGTTCCCCAGAGGAGGCAGCAACCGCTTTTTGCTGTTTCTGGTTTCGGGTAACCACTGAGGCGGCAGCTCAAACGGTCCAAATCCAAACTGTGTGGAGTCCTCAGCCTCTGTAGGCGTAGCCGGTGCCACCTGAGATGAGGAGGCGTAAGCGCACGTGTGAGCAGGAGACGCCCGAGGAGCTGGAACTGAAGGGGGGATCTCCTTAGTGATGATACACCCTCCTCCAGGGTCCTTTGTTGTATTTGTTTCCCCTCTGAAGCTTCCTAATCTCAAGCCATCTTTCTGGTCCTCTTTGTGCCCAGATACATGTCCAGACACTTGAGACGGGGCCTCGTTGTCCTCCTCTTCCTCAGATGGTCTGAAGATCTGCTGCTGGCCAATGTTAAACATCTCTAGGAGCTGGCTCCCGGACCGGCCAGCTGTCTCAAGTCCCATCGGCTCCCCAATAATCCCATCAGCACCTAAAGACGCCAGACCCCCGGTGCTGACCGCATTACGGCGGCTGTAACGTCTGTGAAGTCTGGACAGCAGGTCCAGACAGCAGTGTCGTGCTGAGCGGTTCACGGTCAGAAACAGGATGGGGTTGGTCAACAGGGACACTTTGGGGAGCCAGAGGGCGGTGAGATACAGCGGTACTGGCAGCTCTTCAGCGTCCGCCAGAATGGTGCGATAAACCACCAGCGCTCCATAGGGGGCACTGCACGCCGAGAAAGCCAGCACCGCGGCTAGCAGAGTGGCATGCAGCTCAGCTTCTCTCTGTGATACGTACGGGATGGAGATGCTGCTCTGTGGAGTCCGCAGCGCCGCGATGATCACCTTCTTCTTCTGGCTGGCGCTGAGCGCTCTGCGGATCAGGAGCATGAAAAGGAAAACCAGCACCAGGGGGAGGATCACCGTGGTGATGTTGTAGATCAACACGTACACCATGTGACCCACAGAGCGAGCCGGGTCATCAGAGCAGGAGGAGGCGACGTAGACATCTGTAACGTTGGTGACGGCAAACACGGGGAGGCTGGCCACCACGGCATGGACCCAGATGTAGATGACCAGGTCTCGAGATCTGGAATCTGAGATTTTCCTCTCGAGTGGGTACAGAGCGGAGTAGTATCTGCAGAAAAAAGACAACGTCTGTGAATTTTAAGATTTGCTAAGCTGATTAAGAGAAAGAGAGAGAAAATAATTAGCTTGATTCATGCTGATAAAGCCTCTAATCGTGTCTCTTAAGAGGATCCATGCGGAATTACAGACAAACAGAGGGGAATTTTAAAAAGTTCCCAAATATCAGAACCAGGGGTTGAGCTGAAAACACGTGTCTAACATTTATAATAAAGCTAATTAGGCCCAAAAACTGAAGCTTTAAGTACGTTTCCCAGAAGAACAGAACAGGTAGAACATTAATAATCTCATTACAGTAGCTGCAAAGGGCTTCCCGGTGCACTCTGCTGCATTTTAGTTTAGCATTTAATATAATCTGTGAGGTGTTTCATCCTGTAACCATAGAAAAATGTGATTTTTACTTATTTCTTTAGATATATTTACTCCATATATCTCATGACATCATTAGAAAGGAATTCATAAATGATTGTTATTCATTTTCCTGAATTAGCTAAAGAAAAAGTCACATAAAGAGGCTATTGTTGGTATATCTTAGCTATGCTGCTGTTTGTGTTAAAGGCTGAAACTGTGTCGGAGTTAGCATCTGTAGCTTTGATTACCCTCTGAAAGAATAAATAATTAATCATTTGAAAGTTGTTGCTGAGTTTGGATGCTATGGCTTCAATGCAGTCTTTAAAGCAGTAAATCTCAAGGCAGAGTTCATTGATTTCTGTATAATTCATGTAAATTTACACTAAATTTAATAAAAGTGTGCTTGCAGTAATGTTTAAAATTCCCTTCAGCCCAACAACCCTGTGTAATGTAAGTCCGGGTTTCTTTGTGTGTCGTGTGGCTATTCTTGGAAACCTGAACCTGAAATTTTTTTTGTCAATGACGGTACAATCCCAGAAATGTCAAAAACAAAAACATTATTTTTTAAAGAAGACTCATCAGATTTGAATAAATCTGAACTTACCATAAAGGAAATCTTTGAATTCAGAGCTAACCTCAATCAGACTTTCACTGTGAAGCACAGCAGTGGCTGTGCCATGATGTGGGGACGTTTTAAAGGGGGCATTTTATGACTTTTTAATAAGTTATAACAGTTCAATGGTCGATACAAAACATGTTCGTTGACTTATTTGCACTAAATCACTCTCACATAAACTGATTTCAGCAGTTTTGTTTTTGACATTTTCAGTACCTTCCAGAACGAGCCTTTTCAGGGCTCTGTCACTTTAAGGAAAACAAGCTGTTGCTGGCAATACCCACCCTTCCCCTGATTGGCTGCTATGAGTTGAGAAGCTCAGATATAGAATAGAGGATCAGAGTGAGACGCTGCTCCTCCAGTGTCGACAGGCGAGGGGGGTTCAAGGCAAATTTTCCTTAATGTGATGTCACAATAAGGAACTTTTTTAAACAACTTGTTTTATGCACATAATTCCTAAATCCAAACACTGACAGGAAATAGATGGACAGTTTTATTCACGTTTGAAGCATTTATAAAGGCAGTAGAGACACACATGGCAGCACAAAAGGAGGCAAAAGGTGAGTTTTGCAGAATATGTCCCCTTTAATTTGACGCTGACAAGTTACTTCTCTTTGATTTCCTTGAGATCACGTGCAAGTAAGTAAGGCCTAAAAATGTAAGAAAACCATAGTGGCTAATGTACCAAAGTTACAGCAATAAAAAATAATACTTCTTTTCTTTGTTTCATTTTGATTTTGTAACACTTTTTATGTGTTGCACACGTTTGGTCAAATGATTAAAGTACAAATAAGTATTATTTTTTACTCCAAATTCAATAGCAACTTTTATCAATCTGATGTGACATTTTAAACATAAGTTGGAGGAAATCATTTGTGAGAAAATCTGAACTATTTTAGATTTAATAAATCTAGAAAGCGTTTTTGGTTTAAAGGCAGAGAGAGGGGGCCAGAGAGTACACTATCTCACTTTTAAAGTGTGTGCGTGTGTGTGTGCGTGTGCGTGTGCGTGTGCGTGCGTGCGTGCGTGTGTGTGTGTGTGTGTGTGTGTGTGTGTGTGTGTGTGTGTGTGTGTGTGTGTGTGTGTGTGTGTGTGTGTGTGTGTGTGTTTGCAAGAGGGATTTTATGTGGGCAGCATTTATGAGCCCTGCTGCAACTCTGAGCCACAGGGAAGCCTGGGACACAGGCTTAATCGATCACAACCTTCCTCTTCCTTTTATCCTCACTGCAGGGTGTAGATGGAAACTGAAAGAGACTCATTTTTGTTTTACAACATAAACATTTTCTTATGATTTTAGACCTGGATGTGCACAACCAAACCAGAGTCGCCACAGAAATGGAACGCCCCCCTCTGTCCCATTAGAACACAGCATCCATGATGCTGCCTTTTTTTAATCACACCATTAAATTTCAGTGGTTCTGAGTCAAAGTGGGGGAAATGGCTCTTTTAGTTCATTCTTGTTTGAAAAACATTCATTTTGATGCCCAAACCTGTCCAGTGCGACGGCGCTGAAGCTGAGCATGGTGACGGAGCAGAAAAGTTTATGCAGGAACTTGATGGCCTTGCAGAGCAGAAGCGTGTGGAGCCACAGGCAGCAGCGGGGGCTGGCCCCGAGGGCCACGTCGAAGGGGACACACAGCAGACCGGCGCAAATACCTGAGCACGCCAAGTTCTTGATGAACCGATTGGTCACAGATTTAAAGACGCTCGTGCAGCAGGTGCACCACAGCACCGTTGCATTCCCTGTGAAGAGCAAAGAACAGCTTCAAAATATGGTTGGACTTGATTAGCTCAGTCTAACATGGTTTGGTAGCTCTCCAGGAAAAAAGGCAAAACACTCCTGTCATAAATACTCATGTAAATATAAACCTTTGTCAAAGTGCAGAAACAAAGGTAAACAAGAGGATGTTTAGCTCGAGAAGCCTTCTCGGTGTATTTGCAGAACGTTTGTCAAGCAAGTGTGGATTTACGCTGCAGCCCATGTTTTATTTACACCAGTATTATTCCTGCTCCAGGCTGTGTCATACCATCAGTTACACGCAGTTACCAGTCCAGCTGAGTCTGAGGCCACTGCGGGAAAAACAACAACCACTCTAGAGTTTCTGATTTTTTTACATGATGAAGAAAAATTAGAAACACTGAAGGTTTTATGGACTCTGGATGGATTCAAAATGCAAAAAAGTGAATATTTGACTGCTGGATTACATGTTTTTACAGGTTAGCATGTTGTGAGATTAGTTTACTAATGTTACTTCATTGATTCATTCATTACATATGATGGTGCAGTTCTCATTCAGGTGTCTCGTTTTAAAAATCCTTTTACTGCGATATACTAAGGAATATTCTATCGATATGGGGTCCAAATTGTAAAGCAATGCAGGTAAATGTAACAGGCAATTATTCCAATTTGGTAAGTAATAAGTAAAATTTACCACTGGAAAAAAAATACCCCATAAAGGATTCACAAGGAAATCCCTTCAAAATGAAAAACAAACAAACAAACAAAAAGAAATATAATTAAAACAAATGAGTAAAGATCATTAAAAGCAAAAATTATAAAATAAATGTATAAAGATCATTAAGAACAAATGAATAAAGATCAATAGTAACAAAAATACTAACACAGATGAACAAAGATCATTAAAATAAACAAATAAAGATAATTAAAAACAAATGAATAAGATTAATACAAACGAAAAACAATAAAGCAAATAAATAGAGATCTTTAAAAACCAAGCAAATCATAAAATAGATTAATAAGCATCATTAAAAACAAAGATTATCTAAATAATTGAAGATCAATAATGACAAAAAATAAAACAAAGGAATAAAGATCATCACAAACAAAAATAAAATACAAATTAATAAAGATAATTAAAAGCAGAAACAAAACAAATGAATGAATGATTGAATCAATCAATAAATCAATCATGATTCATTCAACCACATGATTATATTTTAGCACTGTTTCATTATTTCATATTACTGTCTATATGATTTTATTTATTATTTATTTTCTCACTTTTTACATTTATATTAGCTCTTTTATTTTCACATTTTTACTCATTTTAATCCAGTGTTTTCTCTGTAGGGGCCCTCTGCCCCGGGGGCGGTGGTCGACTGTTGCTTCCTGCGCGCTCTACAGGTAGTGTTTAAGTAGAGGTGGGGGTCTATGCTCCACCACCTCTGAGCGCCCTGACTTACTGTGGAAGACCTGATGCTTCCGGGGCAGACGGCTCCTCTGATGGCGTTTCCTTGCCTTAACTTACTTGGCTCATCTGGACTCAGCCGAATATAATTTTTTACTGACGCGCGTGTGTGTGTGTGTGTGTGTGTGTGTGTGTGTGTGTGTGTGTGTGTGTGTGTGTGTGTGCGTGTGTGCATACGTCTGTTAATGTGTTTAAATTGTTATGGGAATTTGGGGTCATTTTGTAAAACACTTTGCTTGAAAAGTGCTTTATAAATAAAATCTGATTGATTGAAACGAATGAAGATAATAAAACAAAAGATATCTGAATCAATTAACAAAAATCATCCATCCATCCATTTTCATCCGCTTATCCGGAGTCGGGTCACGGGGGCAGTAGCCTAAGGCGAGAGGCCCAGACTTCCCTCTCCCCAGCCACTTGGGCCAGCTCCTCCGGGGGAATCCCAAGGTGTTCCCTGGCCAGGTGAGAGACATAGTCCCTCAACAGTGTCCTGGGTCTACCTTTAGGTCTCCTCCCAGTTTGACGTGCCCAGAAAACCTCACCAGGGAGACGTCCAGGAGGCATCCTGACCAGATGCCTGAACCACCTCAACTGGCTCCTCTCGATGTGGAGGAGCAGCGGCTCTACTCCGAGCCCCTCCCGAATGACCTTCTGCTTCTCACCCTATCTCTAAGATCTCTATCCCAGCCACTCTTCGGAGAAAACTCATTTTGGCTGCTTGTATCCGCGATCTCATTCTTTCGGTCACTACCCAAAGCTCGTGACCATAGGTGAGGGTAGGAACGTAGATCGACCGGTAAATCGAGAGCTTCTCCTTCTGACTCAACTCTCTCTTCACCACGACAGACCGGTACAACGCAGATGTAGCACCAATCCGTTGACCCATGTCCGGGCGAGGGAACACGATTTCCATTTATATAATTCATCATAAGAGGTCTTCGGGCTGCTCTTTGTCTGATCCCTCACCTAGGACCTGTTTGCCATGGGTGACCCTACCAGAGGCAGAAAGCCTCAGACAACTTAGCTCCTAGACACTCAAACCCCTCCACCACGGTAAGGTGGCAGCCCAGGGAGAGTTAACAAAACAAAAAAAAGGGTTTTTTTAAACAAAAATCATTAAAAACAAATGAAGAAACACAAAGTTTATACAAAAGCAATATCAAATAACAGTCTTTAGCTTCTTTTTAAAGTGTGTCGTAAATGTATCGTGCCCCATACTTCTACTCGAGAAATGCATTAATCCACACTTCATTTAGAATAAAGTAAGAAATTGGGGATGAAATCCTGAAACCATCTCACACATGAATTATTTGATTCTTTGTGCGACATGATTAGCATCACAATTGTATTATTTACTGAAGCACAGCTCTGTGAATCCCTCAGCAGGTTGAATTAATCCGTCAGATCTGTTTAGGAGACTTGATTAAGTGCAACTTGTGTCAAGTTACAAGAAGGTTTGGAGGTCGGTGACTCTTAATTAGGTTTTAAAAGGTGAGTTTGACACCTCCTGTGGTGCACGCACTGATGAAAGCCCACAGGGCGGCGTGTGATGCCAGGCTCTCCGACAGTAATTATCAAGAATTTATATTATATTTCCTCTGAAAGAGAAAAAAAACTAAAAATAATTCTAGGGCTATTTAGCTCCAGCCTCTGTGAATCACTCAACTAGAGGAAGACATCATCGGCTGTTCAGACTCTATTTATTCAGTTCAAAGGCCACTTCTGAAACTTGACCTAAAAAGTTTCAGATGTAGCCAAAACAAGCTGTTTTAAGGAGAACACTGCATGCTTCCATATTTCAGGAGCACACAGTGTTACGGACCGACGCACAGGAACAGGAGCTCTAATTTAGCAGAATGAATGAAAAAAAAAACCAGAAACAGAAAAAACAAAACTGGTACTTTTATGAAATAATGTCTGCCACTTAGCTGTGGTGTAGGTGTGACTCTAATTTCCCTCTGGGATTAATAAAGTATCTTTGAATTGAATTTGAATTCAATTAAGTCCTTAAAACAAAGTAGAACTAAAGGAAATGGAGAGTAAACCACAAATGTCTGCGTTTTACTTCTGCGTTAACACGAAAAGCGGAAAAACAGTCTGAGTGGTAAATGGCCTGTATTTGATATAGCGCCTTCTAGAGTTCTGGAACCCCCCAAGGTGCTTTACAACACAATCAGTCATTCACCCATTCACACCCTGGTGGGGATGCGCTACAATGTAGCCACAGCTGCCCTGGGACGCACTGACGGAGGCGAGGCTGCCGAGCACTGGCACCACCGGTCCCTCCGACCACCACCAGCAGGCAAGGGGGGTTAAGGGTCTTGCCCAAGGACACAATGACTGTGAAAAACTGAGTGGGGCTCGAACCTGCAAACTTCCGATTATGGGGCGAGCACTTAACTCCTGTGCTACCGTCACCCCAGTGAGTGCAGTTGCTGTTTATCATTATTATTCCAGGATTAGACCAAAATGACCCTAACCCCATTATAAGATTATACTAAAAACATATTTTTGCATTTTTAGCAGTTTTGTGTCTGGCCAATCACAGCGCTGTATCAGTTTGGTGGGTGGGATGATGCAACAGAGCTGAACAACTTAGATGGTGTTGACTCATTTGAAACGGCTTTGGCATCAACTTTAGACTTAGATGGAGGTACTTTAGTCCTTTATTTAGAAAAATTATGTATTTGCGCAATTGGGTGCATAACTTGCACGCACAAGTGGGTTAAGGTTAAGATGGGGGTGAGGGGAAGATTAAATAGCAAGAGGGTAAAGGTCACAATTTCCTAAAATCTCCGTTTAACCACGGGCATCGGAAAATGACGCTCTGGCGCATCACGTCGCCTCCTGACGCATTGGGGCGTTTGTTTCCGACGCGTCGGAAACAACACTTGGTCATCCTTCGTCAGTTTTAGCCGCTACGGATGCGAGAATGTGTTGATTTGTGTCTTCTTTGACAGCGTAAGGTGGACTGCCCCGTTGACTGACATCTGTAGCAGTGAGTATGTCACGATGTTTGTTGTCCAACAGCATGAGAAGACAGTTTGAAAGACAACCCACAGCTGAGCTCTCTCTATGGGTCGTGGCCAGAATATAAATTCAACTATAGGATGGTTTACCAGGCTACTGTTTTCCCACTATAAAGAAGAAAAAAAAATGCGGAATACAAGTTTTGTCTCAGAAAAGGTACACCTTGTTTCACAGATCCAAGATCTGGACTGGAATAAATGTGGATCCTACCAGGGGTGCACTGACACATCTGGCCTTCTGGTATCGTCCTGGTGGGCCGCTCGCTCAACATAGGCTGCTTCCCCAATATGGTCCCCCCACTACACACACACACATTCAGCGGAACCGCGAGCGATCAATTTCCCACCCCCGCTGTCACATTCTGCAAAAATGAAACATATATAATGGCTTCCTAAGGGTTTTTTTTCACTGGAAGCCGATACTTAACATAAGATAGTTTTTTTTTACTCTTGGCTTCTTCAACCAGCTCACGTGCAACCCACAAGCACGCACACTCCAAAACGA